GATATGTTATTTTTGCTTGCTTATCTTCATTTAATATGTGCTCGAATGTACAGAAAAAACCAAAAGCTTGAAATTGATAATCGATGGCTGAAATCAAATACTTGAAATGATAATAGATTTAAGATGAAGTTAAATTGATAAAACACCTTATTTGATAGTAAACTCGAAGCATCAATCTGATGGACATCGATATCAGTTGATGATTGATTAACAATGTTGATGAATGGCTAAAAATCGTTGATCTAAAAGCGATGAAAACTCAAACCTTGATCAATTGATGAAATCATGATGTAGAGTAAAAAGCACAGCTTCAAAGATCGTTAGCAATTGTTGAAGATGAAGATTAGTAGAAATCGACCTAACACTTGAACTTCTACCTTGGATGAAATCGATGATCACATGGCTAAAACCGATAAAAATCTTGTAATGAATTGTTGACGTCGATAGATGAACATAAACCTCAATCACCCAAATCAAAGCAAATAGAAGATTGATTAGCATGAATCGAAGATGAAGGAATGTTGATCGATTAATGTGAATTGGTAGAAAGAATCAAAGCAGCTGGATTTTGTGATAACGTGAAGATAACATATTTGATGATCTAAAATTTAACTTATTGCCTAGTCTATCCCTAATTAACTAATCTTTTAGATTAATTAAGTTAATCACGTTTTCTTATGAGCCACAAGATCGGTTTTGATCAAAGGCTCAGATTTGGTCCCCATGTCTTACAAAATATAGATGGTCTCAAATGAACCTCTACATATATATATATATATATATATATATATATATATATATATATATATATATATATATATATATATGGGAAAAGTGAATATACCCTTAAGGGTATATAAGCTTAGGTACCCAAACTCACCATACTACGTCGTTTTGTATCATATAATACATTATAATTGTCCAATGTTCTTATAATTTAACTTCTAAATTGATTTACTTTCATGATTTTTATAAATTACACATTTATCTTTCTCTTACTTAATTTTCATTTTCAATTACAACAAATATAACCTAATAGGTGTTCGACAAAAAGATGTGACATAAGAGAAAGATAATAGTGAAATTTCGAAAATCTTGAAATGAAATCAAGTTAGGGGTTGAAGTTTAAGAACATTATAATGAATATATCAAACAAAACGACGTATTATGGTGTGTTTGGATACCTATGCTTATATACCCTTAAGGGTATATTATTCACTTTTCCATATATATATATATATATATATATATATATATATATGTGTGTGTGTGTGTGTGTGTGTGTGTGTGTGTGTGGAATCAAACAAAGGAAAAGGAAAAACACAAGAAATGAAACTTACAATGAAATCAAGATGGGTCAATAGAGACACACAAATTGCAATAGATGCAACCCACGAAATTAGATGCATATCGATCCAAGAATAGCACCAACAGGTGCAGGAAATTTTTGTGGGGGGTTGTTTGTTGAGTCGATGATTTATCTAGATGTTTTGAAGGTATGTGTGGGTGAGAAGAAGCGCACACGATTGTATTTAAAGGGTAATCTATGTTGCATGACAAACACATCTTTGATGTGGCAGACGTGGGTATTGTCGGGTTCAGTTCCCGGTTTTGGGCCGGTTCAAATGGCTAGTTCCTACCGGTTCCAAAAATTGACAATATTACAGTATCGGTCCCGGCCCAACCGCCAGTTTCGGTTCCGGTACCGGTCCCGGCTGGTTCCCGGTCCATATGCTCATCCATAACTGTCTTTTCAAACTTCTTAAGCTTTCAATTTTTTCCAATTTTTTTTTCGAATTTCGGTATATATTTTTTTAAACTTTGATTTATTTTTTAAACTTTGATTTACAAATTTGATACAATTTCTTTTTATAGTTTCCACTATTATTTATTACTTGATTTTTTTTTTAAAAAACACTTCGATTTTTTTATTTTTTTGTTACTGTTTTTGCTAATAATATTTTCATTTTCGGTTGAAATTTTTTTAACATGTGTAATTCTTTTACGAACGTTGTAGACATCGTTTGTAATCTTTTCTTATTTTTTTAATACTCTTTTATGATTTTTAAAATTAGTTTTTTTATAGAATAAAACAAATTGCTTCTTATATATATATATATTAGATTTCTTTAGAAACTTTATATTTTGTTTTTTCATGTTTTTTTAATATTTTTTCAATGTTTTAAGACTAAAATTATTAAAATTTCAGTGTTAGAGAAGTATTTTCAATTTATAAAATTAGTTTATTTAAATTTCAGTTTACTCCAGCAGTCTACTGATATTAAAAACCAAACATGTTTCTTATTACAGGTTGTAGCCATTTGGTCCACCTCTCCCGTTTTAGATAGTTGCAGAGACAGTCTACAGACTTTATGAATTTTTGTTTCGAAAAAACAAACAACACCTAACTAATCAGTTAGCTTCTAGAAGAATTGGTTGGATGTATCAACATAATAAGGAACTCTTTGAAACGGATGTACGTCACTATATATCTACAAATAACATGGTCGTTTACTATGATAACAAGTTTGACACGAAAAAATGTTGAGTCTTCGGTTGAAGTAACATTCGATTAAAAATAATCTATTTGATTATTGGTTGTTTGTCACGATCATGAATAATGTTATAAAATAGATAATCTATTAATGTGAGAAAATTCAATTAAACAACCACACAAACACCCCGATATAAACTGGAAAATTAAAATCAAGAAAAAACATTATAAAAACGACACTCTCACTCTTATTAAAGGGTTACATTATCGTTAAATCTCTAAGGAAAAACAAGAGAAAAGAAGATGTTGGAATGAATAAAATATGATATATAATGGTTTAATATAATAGCCTTGCAAAGAGTTCTAAACAAACTCTAAAACCAGTAAATACGAAACATTCCTAATACATGACTATAGAGGAGGACGCAAAAATTGATGGTAGGTGTTTCCGATTGTTTTTTTTGGCCAAACATAATATAAAACCGAAAAATAATTCATTACGTCTAATAAAAAAAGTGATCCATTACATAAAAAGTTAAAAGCATAACCACGATCTATTGCAATTTTGATTTTTCCTTTGTGTGCCGACATCTTTTGAAACCGCTCAATCAATTTTTCATTCTCAACTTTCATAAATGCTTTGGTCTCAACATAGTAAAACAATGCGTCGTTCAAAAAGTCATCACCGATTTTGTTGCGCAAGTCGGTCTTCAAGAATTTCATATTTGAAAAACATATTTCTACACTTGCGATCGCTACGGGTAATATCAAAGTCAATTTTAAAAGCTTATAAATCAAATGATAAGACCAATGTTTCCCCGTACTAACCATTAAACGAGAAAGGCCAGAAATTCCTTTCAAACTTGTGAAATGCCCATCTTTGATGCAAGAGTGATAAAATATGTCAAGTTGTCATTCAAGTTCTATAATATCTGAATCATCAAATCCAGACTTGTACAACTTACCTACCTTCAACAACTTTGATTTGTCAAATTGTGCAAATGAATCACAAGGACTCGAAGCATCCATGTATTCTAATAGTTGGGTGGTTGTTTTACTAAATCGATCATGATATTTTATACGTTGCATATCCACCACCATGTTAAAGATTTCAACCTCAAAATGAAATATGTTAGGATTAGGTCTTGGTCTTTTTGTAAGAAAACCATCAAGGGTAAGCTACAATTCTAACATTAAACTAAATAACTACACCAAATCATCTAATAGCTTCAATAAAAACATACCAAATTAGTTAATAACATCAATAAGTCAATAATATTAATAGAAACAAAGCAATTTCAACAATTCAAGATAAGTCAATAAAGACAATAAGATTGAGACATAGCAATTTTATTTCACCAAATCAAACAATAAGTCAATAACATCAACACAAACATATGAATTTCAACAATTCAGGATAAAAACATAGCAATCTCGATTTCAACCTATAACAAATTGGTAAAATTTCAACTTACTTGCTTCATTCTTAGGTTAGGGTTTGGAGATTAATTGGAATCTTGGAGTCAAATTGAACAATGGGTGGGAATGGGATTCAATTTTTTGCTAGTGAATCAACAAGACAACATTAGGCAGCCATGGAGTTTATGGAACGAAAGCATGAAGCAACAATCGACGATTTTTTTCCAGTCAAAATCGAACATAGTGCCTTTCTCAAGTCTAAAGTCTCGACGGTTTTTTTTTTACAAAACTTCAAAAATAGTCCCTGTGGTTTCCGAAAATCTGAAGTTTGGTCCCTAATTTACAAAAACCTCACAAATCATTCCTGTGGTTTCAAAACTTTTAACATTTTGTCCTTCTGCCTAACTCTATCAGCGTTCTACCGTTAAGTGAGGGGTATTTTCGTCATTTCAACACCCATGGACCATTTATGAGGTTTTCTAATTTTTTTTGAAAAATAAATAAATTTAAAGGGGTCCCACCCATATCTCTCTCTTTCTCATAAAAAGGGCTCCCAATGCTTCATCGTCATATTAGAGCAACGTTCACCAAACCAACTGCCATTTCTTCATCTTAAAGCCTCCAACAGCAAAATAATATTTTAGTTTAATAGAGGGAGAAAGTATGGATTCGGATAGAAAAAGGGTGTCAACGAGTTCATAAAAAAATGGGGTGGTGATGGGTTCTGTTTGGGATAGCAGAATGAAAGGTAGCTTCAAAGTCTTTAATGGTGATGACAAGAATCAAGAAATTGAAAAACCCACAGAGAAAAACAACCCAACTGAGACTACTGGTGAGATTGTTAAAATGGAGAAGGCTAGATCTGAAAACAAAAAAGTATTTGGTGAATTGAGTGTTTCGGTGGATGGAACTGGAATCAAGAAAATCATAGTTCAAATGAAGAAGGGAAGACATGAATGGAGTAAGGAACAAAGTGCTTCAGAGAAGCCTATTTGTTCTTTCGATCTTCGCTGACTTAAGAACAAGGGAAACAATCAGTTAAAAAAACAAAAGTGGTGGTGACCGATTTACTCACATTAGCAGCAAAATGGTGGTGGTCGGGATTTCAATAGCGATGGCGGCAATGGAGTGGGTCGGCGATGGAAGGAGGGCGACGGTGGTGGTAGCGGCGGCTCCGGCTGCCTTGTCTCTCTTCTATCGTGCAGCACACGGTGGTTCTCAGTAGTAAGGAAAATGGGAAGGGAAGTAGAAAAATGTGAATGGAAAGCAGTAAGTGGTGGTATTTGAGGGTGGTTTTGAGTGATCAAACGGGATGGAAGATGGGTGACTGGGTTGTGGTTTCCGATGGGGAAGGATGTGATGGCAGTGGTGGTTTTATGGCGGAAGGTGGTGCTACCGTGTGGAATCGTAAGTGTGAGTGTGTGTGTGTGTGAGAGAGAGAGAGAGAAATATATATATATATATATATATATATATATATATATATATAGAGAGAGAGAGAGAGAGAGAGAGATGGGTGGGACCAGTCAAATTTATTTATTTTCTTTTTTTTTTCAAAAAAAAAAGAAAAGTTTTGAAACCACAAGGACGATTCGTAACGTTTTTGTAAATTAAGGACCAAACTTCAGATTTTCAGAAACCATGGACTATTTTTGAAGTTGTTTTTTTTTTCTTCGTCCGATTAATTCAAGTGTCCAAGTGGACCAAGTCCAAACCCCCAATTGGACGATTTTACAATTTCTATTGGACTTTTTTTTTTTGGCTAAAATTAATAGGGCTTTTGGACTATTAATTATGAGTTTAAGTTGTAAACTAATTATAATTTTAGCTTGTAATATATTTTTGGCGTTAACTGATTCAATAGAGTGATAATTATTTTAAGTAGTTGCCAATTTTTTTATGTAGTTTTCCATTTTCTTACGCAGTGACACAAAAGGTTAAAAAAAAATTCAAAAAAGCTACCACTACATATGCGGGAACTATGTGTTGCTGGTGCCCGATATGACTAACTTGATAGCCAAGCAAATAAGGTTTAGGATTATTATTAACAAACTCTCCATTGAAACGAAACTGATCTTTAATAAAAAGAACCTAGACATAAGTCTAAAATAAGAAGTGTCACTCTAAGGACTAAACTCTCTAAAATGAAATAGACAGAAAAACAATGAAATATCAAATCTCCAAAAAAAGCCAATGGATACTAAACTCAATGCAAGTACCTTGAAAATACCTTTAAGGCCAAACCATTTCTACCAAAATGGTCTTCATGTCATATCAATAACATGCCTCCGAATACACTCTCGAACTAAAATTGGTACCTTGCTAAACTAAGGTTCTATCCAAATTAAAGATGACATATTAAAGAAGTAAAAGCTTCAAACCGAATGTTGTACGGTATAAACGTCTTTCAACCCAACCAAAATACCTTACGGTGTCATAATACTTGAAAAATACTTTACGATATTGAAAATATTTTGCGGTATTAAACTCTTGAAAATACCTTATGGTATTAATTTCTTGAAAAAATACATTGGGTATTAAAGTCTTGAAAAATACACTATGCTCTCAAATCCCGAAAATATTAATAATTGAAAATACCTTGCGTTATTAAAGTCTTGAAAATACTTTGCAGTATTAAAGTCTTAAAAATACCTTATGGTATTAATTTCTTTTAATTTCTTGAAAAAATGCGTTGGGGTATTAAAGTCTTGAAAATACTTTACGTTATTAAAGTCTTTAAAAAACCTTTTAGTATTATAATGCTTTGAACAAGACAATCTTTAAAGATTCTTCAGTGGACAAACGATAGGATCTCGGGATCTTAACACTCCTAAAAGTCAAAAACTCTTAAAGTCTGCAACATAAAGGAATAATAACTCGAAATTGTAAAAGGGTTGGAATCCACAATGAAGTCTTATTCCAAACATCCTATTCATCCAAAATAACCTAACGGGATAATGACTTCAGAGGGTAACATACTTTTGATTTTGATCACATTTGGTCACTGAACTTTTTTTCGTGCTCTATTAACCCTTTAACTTGTTGATTTGTGCAAATTTTCCCCTTCCGACCGGGTTTAGCCGGTTTCAAACGGTTTATTGATCCTACGTGTATTTTTTTTTATCTTACGTGGCGAAAGAGGTGGCATGTAGGGCCCGATTTTTCGTCTCCGTCTCATTAAACCACACCCCGAAGTCTCATTTGGTCCTTAAACTCGACTAGGTCACAAAATTCTCCATCGATCATTCATCTCCTTCAACCGTTCTATGGCATCATCTCCAAATCCTACTGATCAGAACTTCATTGTAGTGGATTTCCACTACAATGGTCAGTTTGCACCCAATCCCTTAGTTTACTTTGATCCCAACAGAGCATCAGTGCGAGATGTTGACTTCAGTGGGTTTGGGTATGAGCAATTCATGGAATTCCTTCACAAGCTCACCAACTCGAGAAGCAAAGACATCTATTTCTGCCTTCCACAAGAGTCTTTAGGTCTTGGAATTCATACACTGGTGAACAACGGTGATTACAAGGAATTTTTGGATTTGGCGTATGCTAATGACAAGAGAATGAATGTATATGTGGATCACCATAATGAACCTATCTTCGACTGGATTGAGGCTGAGGAAAGTGAAAGTGAAAACGAAGACTTAGATGAAGATGAGGATTCAGTTATTCAAGATTCATATTCTGTTGATCATGAAGAAGATGATGCTACCTATCCATTTCCAGCAAACAAAACTGCACGTGATAGATTTTTAAACATCCTTTGTGAACCTATAGAGAGTGAAGATCAAGATGATGAATACGTGCCACCCAGTACCCTGTGTATGATGAGAGACAGCCATGGGATCAGATGAAACCAATTATAGGTATGCGATTTTCTAACCCTACTGAGCTTAAACATATGTTAAGCAATTATGCAGTTGCTAATGGGTATGATCTATGGTTTGAAAAATGACTCTGATAGATTGTTAGTGAAATGTTGCAAAAAGAATAAGTCACCATCTTGCCCTTTCAGACTATGGGCCTCCTGGATGGGTAAAGAAAAGACTTTTCAGATCAAATCTCTAGTGAATGAACATAATTGTTGTAGGGTGTTTAAGTTTGGGTCAATTGTAACTTATAGATGGATAGGGAAACATTTTATGAGTCAAATTATAGAGAACCCAAAAATGAGTGCAAGGAAGATGAAAGCTAAAGTGTCAACAACATTCAACATAAATGTGAGTGTGGGGCAATGCAGAAATGCAAAGAAATTTGCATTACAAGAGATTGAAGGAAGTTTAATTGAACATTATGGGAGATTGTGGTCATATGGTGAGGAAATTATCAGGTCAAATCCTGGGTCTACTGTGAGATTGGATGTAGACATCATGCCAGATTCCACAACTTTGTTTTCTAAGTTTTATGTGTGTTTCAAAGCTGTAAGGGATGGTTGGTTAGAAGGGTGCAGGCCAGTAATTGGGCTTGATGGTTGCTTTTTAAAGGGTATAGTTAGAGGAGAAGTTATTTCAGCTGTTGGGAGAGATGCAAACAACCACATCTACCCTTTAGCATGGGTTGTGGTATGTGTTGAGAATAAAGAAACATGGAAGTGGTTCATAGATTTGCTTATGGATGACATTAATGGTGGTCTTAGTGCAGGCATTACCCTTCTTTCTGATGGACACAAGGTTAGTACTTGGTCATTTTTATGCTTTTTCACTCATAATGATGTTGTGATTTGTAGGGGTTATTACAAGCAGTTAAGGAAAAACGTCCAGAAGCTGAACATAGACAATGTGCTAGACACATTCTGGCCAATTTTAATAAAAGGTTTACTGGTCAACAATACATAAAGTTATTTTGGAGGGCTGTAAGGGCTAGTACTGTGGAGAAGTTCAGAGGTGTAATGGAGAACATCAAATCTATTGATACTCATGCTTATGATTACCTTATAGACAGAGATCCTACTACCTGGTCTAAGGCATTCTTTCAAGAAGGAAGAGACTGTGATGCAGTGGAGAATGGGGTCAGTGAGAGTTTCAATTCTGCTATTAGGCATGCTAGAAGGAGACCTATAATCACTATGCTGGAGGAGATTAGGTTATTTGTGATGGAAAGGATATACACTCAAAGAGTTGAAGGAATGGAATGGGATTTGCTTATATGTCCAACTATTAGGAAGCGTATAGAACATCTGAAGGTTAAACAGAGGTAATTATTTTACTTTAATATGCTTATGTTAATTATGAGGATGTGTTATTGATTCACTGATGTTAATATGCTTAAACAGATTGTGGGGAGTTACTCCTTGTGGTTATCAAAAGTATGAGGTTAGATTCACTGATGTTGCATATGGAGTGGATCTAATTGCAAAGAAGTGTGCCTGTAGAATATGGCAACTTACAGGGATACCATGCTTACATGGAGTGGCAGCAATATCTTACTTAAATCATGATGCTGAGGCATATGTGTCCCAATCATACACTACTGAGGCTTACCTAAAATGCTACAAATATAGCATTAATCCTCTCAATAGTAGTGAAATGTGGCCAGATGTTCCATACCATAAGCCTTTGCCTCCCAAAAGAAGAAGATTACCTGGTAGGCCATCTGTGAAAAGGAAGAGGGATGCAATTGAACGAGAGTTGAGTGGATCAAGTAGACAAACTGTCTCAAGAAGGGGTAGCATAATAAAGTGTGGTATTTGTAAGGAACCAGGTCACAACAAGAAAAAGTGTCCATCTAACCAACAAAGCAATACATCAGGTGAATATTTTTAAAAAAATTACATCATTTGAACAAAGAATTGACATTTTAATTTTTGTTTGCAGTACCAAGTTCATCCAGGGGCAGTGGAGCAGACCCAAGTTTATCCAGGGGCAATGAAGGACCACCACCTCCTCCACCACCACCTGCAGCCCAACAACCTCCTCCACCACCACCTGCAGCCATGCCAAGAAGAAGGGTCCCAGTTAGTAGAAGTGGAAGGAGGAAATATTCTGAACGGATTATCAAACAAGCATTAAGGAGGCAGATACCTGGGGTTGGGAGCAATGCAGATAACCCTTCAGTTATTGATTAATTTAGGGGATAATAGTGGGTGGGTAGGAATATCTTTTGTAAGGCAGTTGTGATGTAAAGACAAAGTAGTAGTCTTTTTATTATGCTTTTCTATGGTACTATCAAGTAGGTGTATGGGCACATGGTGGCCCTTCTTTTGTCTATGCAGGAATCTTTTGTGTTACCTAGAAACTACTTTTGTGTATGCAGACAAAAACTTATATAACTGTAGAATATTAATGGCGTATTACAATGAATCCAACCACCACATTCACTTACTTTTTTTATTATATGTATTTGTTATATGTATGCTACTTTGTGATTCCATTCCAGTCAAAACTAATTCTTTATATGCATGCTACTTTGTGATTCCATTCCAGTCAAAACTAATTCTTTATATGCATGCTACTTTGTGATTCTATTCCAGTCAAAATCAAATATGTATTCATTGTTATATGTATGCTTCCTTATGATTCCATTCCAGTCAAAAATATTTCTTGGTGATTCCATTCCAGTCAAAGTTACTTCATTCCATTCTTTGTGATTCCATTCCAATCAAAGTTAATATGTATGCAGTTAATATGTATGCTTCTTTATAATTAAATTTTCCATTACAATCAATGTTACTTCATTCCATTCCAACAAGAAGTTAAGATAACAACTCTATTCTATTCAAACAACATCTTTCAATACATCATGTGACTTCATTTCATCATATACACGATGATCAGAAAAAGAAATCCAATGGTAAACTTATATATTTTCTCCTTCATTGCAATGGCATCAGAGTACTTTTCCTTCTTCATCTGTTCCATGTCTTCCTTCACCTTCTCTACTTCGGTCTTCAATGCTACTAATTCAGCTTTCATTCCCTCCACCACTTCCATCAGAGGCATCTGTACAAGTTCTACATCCAACCATTTCCAATATTTGCATTTACCCTTCCACAATAAAATTTCAAAGTGAGATTTCAAATCTGGAATAAATGAATCAGAAAAGAGGGGAAATTTAAGTGAAATTGCTTACCTCATTGCACACACCATGAAATGCCTCCCTGGATTCTTTGGTGTTGTTGATGTTAGAATACGTGCAGGGAACCCACAATCACAAGTTTTTGGATCATTCACTGTGGATTTCTTGCTTGATCGATTGAGGGAGGATGAGATGCTGTAGGAGGAAGCCATCGGGTATTAGGGCAACGCAGGGTATTAGAGCACAATAAATGAACAACAAACGCCCCTCCTTTAATAACAAGAACCCTAGATGCCAGTTAGGATCAAAACTGACACGTAGGATCAATAAATTCATTGAAACCGGCAAAAACCAGTCGGAAGGGGAAAATTTGCACAAATCAACAAGTTAAAGGTTAATAGAGCACCGAAAAAAAGTTCAGTGACCAAATGTGATCAAAATCAAAAGTATGTTACCCTCTGAAGTCA